TGTGAGAGGTTTGAGTGTGAGCAYGCCCGTTGGGACCCGAAAGATGGTGAACTATGCCTGAGCAGGGCGAGGCCAGAGGCAACTCTGGTGGAGGCTCGCAGCGATACTGACGTGCAAATCGTTCGTCGGACTTGGGTATAGGGGCGAAAGACTAATCGAACCGTCTAGTAGCTGGTTCCCTCYGAAGTTTCCCTCAGGATAGCTGGACCTGTTGAACAGTTTTATCGGGTAAAGCGAATGATTAGAGGCCTCGGGGGTGAAACACCCTCGACCTATTCTCAAACTTTAAATAGGTAAGATTTCGGGGTTGCTTAAGCGAACCCCGAGGATCAATGAAAGCTCCAAGTGGCCCATTTTTGGTAAGCAGAACTGGCGATGCAGGATGAACCGAAAGTCGAGCTACGGTGCCAAACTGCGCGCTAACCCAGATACCACAAAGGGTGTTGATTGATACAGACAGCAGGACGGTGGTCATGGAAGACGAAATCCGCTAAGGAGTGTGTGTGTGTGTGTGTGTGTGTGTGTGTGTGTGAGAGAGAGAGAGAGAGAGAGAGAGAAAGAAAGAGAGAGAGACACACATAGAGAGAGAGAGAGAGCGCACCTCTTTGCTGCCCATTCGGGTGAGCTTCCGCATGACGACCGGTACACCCTCTCCCTCCTCCTCCTCCTCCTCCCCTTCTTCATCTTCTTTGTCACACCTTCTTCTACTTCTTCGTCATTCCATTTTCTTCTCCTTTTCAGATCTTCTTCTTCTACTTCTTCTTCGTCTCTCTTTCTTCTTCTTCTTCTTCTTCTTCTTCTTCTTCTTCTTCTTCTTCTTCGTCTTCTTCTTCTTCGTCATTTCTTCTTCTCATATTTTCTTCTTTTACTTCTTTGGCGTCACTTCTTCTTCGTCGTCGTCTTTCTTTCTTTCTTTCTTCTTCTTCTTCTTCTTCTTCTTCTTCTTCTTCTTCTTCTTCTGCGCCTTTGTCTTCTTCTTCTTCATCTTCTTCTTCTTCTTCTTCTTTGTCATCATCGTCGTCGTCTTCATTTTTCGTTCTTCTTCTTCTTCTTTTTCTTCTTCTTCTTCTTCTTCTTTTTCTTCTTCTTCTTCTTCTTCGTCTCCGTCTTCGTCTTTCTTTCTTCTTCTTCTTCATCTTCTTCTTCTTTGTCTTCGTCTTCGTCTTTCTTTCTTCTTCTTGTTTTTCTTGTTGTTGTTTTTCTTCTTCTTGTTCTTGTTCTTGTTCTTCTTCTTCTTCTTCTTCTTCGTGAAGGCTCCCGACTCCGAATGTTGCCGCGCGAGGCAAAAAAAAAAAAAACTCGCGACTGTCAGACTGACGCGCGCGGCGAATCCCGACACCCAAGGACTGGGGCGCGCGGCAAATCCCAACACGCAAAGACTGGCGAGAGGGCGAATCCCGACAAAGAGAGAGAGAGAGAGAGAGAGAGAGAGAGAGAGAGAGAGAGAGAGAGAGAGAGAGAGAGAGAGAGAGAGAGAGAGAGA